TGTCCTCTTTGAACCAGGGCTGCCCAGCCGCACACAGCTACGGTGCATTTACCTCCTGTCCTCTTTGAACCAGGGCTGCCGGTGTTGCCGGGGGTCATGCAAGTCAATGTCCCAGCTTCTGCAAGTGACCTGCAGTGCAGTCATTGGGGTGTGGGCAGAGCTGGGCCCAGGTCCAGCTAGGACAATGGGAACCCCGTCATTCTCTCCAGGGTGGGGCCAGTGCAGGGGATAGCTCTGAGTGGGCTGGGGGGCTGGGGCCAGGTCCCCCCTCGGCACCTGGTGGCATTGTTCCCTGAGCCCAGCCCTGGCCGTGTGGCCCCTTTGGATCCAAAAGGAGGCAGTTTGAGGGGGCGGTGAGGAGATCCCTGGAGAGGTCCCACCTGATGCCAGCCTCTGCCCCCAGCCCGGCAGACCCCTGGGGAACCCTCGCGGCCCTGCTCACTGGGGGGTCTCGGCCCCTCTCCTCCCAGGTGACGGCGCCAGCACGTACAAGCAGCACCGCAGGACTCCCTCCTCCTCCAGCACCCTCGCCTACTCCCCGCGGGATGAGGAGGACAGCATGGTAGGTCCCTGCACCTCCGCCCACCCCCAGGGCGCTGCTGCAGGGAACAGCACGTGCAGGCACCCTGAGGCTTCAGTGCAGCGGCACTCCAGGTCGGCCGGCGCCGCCTTGGTCGCCCGGGCACAGGGACGTTGCCTGCAGGCCCGGCGAGGCACATGGTCCATCTTCAGTGCACTGGGTCAGGTGGGAACAGAGCCGAATCGTACCTCGACCCGCCGCCTCTGCGCCCGGGCGATCACGCCTCGGGCTGCTGGGGTGCAGACAGGAGGCCTGAGGGGTCCTCTTGGGAGGAAGGGTGGGTGGAGCCAAGCTGTGAGGTCAGCAGAGGCAGGGCCTGGAACGTTCCGGGGGCTGCGGGGACTACAGGAGGATGTCAGGCAGGGGTGGTCGCTGACCCAAGGCTGAGCCTGGGAAACACGCCCGCTAGGGCTGGGCCAGGCACCGGGCTTGGGAACTAGCTGCCCGGGGCCGGGCCGTGGGCGGGCTTGGGCCCTGGCGGCTTTGGCTCCTCACTGGCTGGGCCTTCTCGGTGGGCAGGGCAACTCCACTGACAAGCTCGATGGGCGCTCCGGCTCCCCAGCCTCTCAGAACCCCACACCTCGCCCCACGCTGGGCTGCCAGGTCTTCTTTTCTGTGTCACAGAAGAAAATTGTTTTAAATGAACAGACATACTTTTGTGTCAGCCACTGGCTGACTCCCACCTTTCTCAGGCCATACAGTCTGTGACCTGGCCTTTGAACCCAGTGACCACACAGGTCAAGGCAGAGTTGTTGGTACGTGCTGTCGAGTCAGACCCAACTCATGGTTACCCCTCTTTGGGTTTCCGAGGCAGTATCACTACGGAAGTAGATTGCCCCATCTTCCTTCCGAGGAGTGGCTGGTGGGTAAAGGGCAGTTAAGGTGGTATAAACAGTGCTGTGAGAGCCTCCGGCCCAGCCACCACTGTCACCCCGGGGTACCTTCTCTGCCAGCTACAGCCCTGCAGACCAGGCTTCATCCTGACCCCCAGTTCAGAAATAGTCCTTGGCCTAGCCCAGGCCTGCCTGGCCCTCAGCTCCCTGGCTCTGGCAGCCAGGGGGGCCCGATGGGCAGCCAGTGAGGAGTGGGTGGGCAGTGGGAATGCAACTGTGCCCCAGGCTCAGCCCAGCCCTCTGGTTTCCATGGCCGCCCCAGGAGGCTGTGTGACTCACTTCCTGTGGTCTCCCCTGCTGGGCCACAAGTCCCTGCAAACATCAGGGCCGGCAGGCCACTTGGCACGCAGGGAGGCCCGGCCCTGGCGAGCAGGCCCATCTGGGCCCCAAACACACTAGAGGCTTCATCTCCTGCTTGGGGGAGCCAGGGTGGCCCTGCAGCTGCTGGCGGGCACTGGGGCCGCGGCCCTCTGCAGCCAACACACTTCCTGCCAGGGCTGGGGGGACATTCCGGCAGCCTCCGTGCCCCAGAAGGTGCTGCCAGCTGGGCAGCTTGGCCAGATGAGGGGCTGGGTGCACACGGAAAAAGAGCCAAGCCCAGGAGGCGTGCCGGGGCGTCTGTACCTGGCTCCCTGACGGCTTGGGGCTCAGGAATGGGCCATGGCAGCTCTCAGCCCAGAGAGGGGTTGCAGGCAGCAGTGGGCTTGTAGGAGGTTTCCAGGCCCAGTGGGGAGGGCAGGGCAGCACCCCGACCAGAATCCCACCCTGGTAGAGCCTCGTCTGTGGGAGCAGCCGGTCAGGGTCTGTGTACGGCCCTGCCCTGCTTGACAGGATGCCGGCCTGGGGTCGCTGGGTCTGTCCCCACCTCCAGACAGGGAGGTGGGGGGGGCAGCGGGCCTGTGACACCCTGCCGGCGCCCCTTCCCAGCCGGCTGCTTCCATTGGCTCAGGCCTCGGCCACCAGGATTGGCTGGTGGGGGTGCCCGCTCTGCGCCCGCGTCCCTCACGGGAAGCAGGAAGCAGCCCAGCGCGTCCCAGTACAATTGAATAGCAGGAAGTTTCTCCACTCACTACACAAAGAGACCTGACCGATGTGAGCGGGTGGCAGCCAGCGTCAGGGCCGGTGGCCGGCGGGCAGGGGGCTCGGCCCCCACTCCGCGACCCCAGGTATTCGGGGTTGCTTTGTGAGCGCCCGCTGGGACCGGGGCAGCGCTGCAGCCGAGGGTCGTCGGGGGCTGGCCTCCCGGGGCTGGGCTGCAGACCCCGACCCTGATGCCCACGCGTCGTGCCCGCAGCCTCCCATCAGCACTCCGCGCCGCTCTGATTCGGCCATCTCCGTGCGCTCACTGCACTCCGAGTCCAGCATGTCCCTGCGCTCCACGTTCTCGCTGCCCGAGGAGGAGGAGGAGCCGGTGCGTGGGGAGGGCTGGGAAAGCCCGTGGGGGGCAGGGGTGGGCGCGCTGCTGGGCACTGGGCGGCAGCGGGTGGGACGACAGGGGCCGTGGGGGACCCTCCTGCCCCAGCCGCACCCCCACGGTGGGTCCCATGGCTGCGCTTCAAGCCTCCCTCTTGCAGGAACCGCTGGTATTTGCGGAGCAGCCTTCGGTGAAGCTGTGCTGTCAGCTGTGCTGCTCTGTTTTCAAAGATCCGGTGATCACCACGTGCGGGGTGAGTGAGGGGCGGGGCCTGGGCAGGTGGGGCGGGGCCATGATGAACCCCTGTAGGATGGGGGGTGGAGCCTGAGCGGGCAGGGCAGGGCCATGATGAC